GGGGTGGGCCACAGAGAGAGAGAGAGAGAGAGAGAGTCCTAAGAAGGCTCTGCTCTGTCAGCACAGAGCCTGATGCAGGGCTCAATCCCATGAACCTTGAGATCATGATCTGAGCCAAAACTAAGAGTTGGACACCTAACCGACTAAGCCATCCAGGCGCCCCTGCTATGTTGCTTTTCTGAGGAAAATTCAGTTGTGTCTAGTATAAGGAGCTCAATCTCTTTTTTATGGGCTTTTTTATTTGGAAAGTCAATTGCAAACCATCAAAATTAGTTTCTACTTATTCGATAATCATATAGGGATCGAGTTTCCCATATTGAAAGATTACCTTTTGTTGTGTTGTAAATATTGGCCAGAATAGTTGTGTGGTCCCTAAACTTCTGATTTAATTAATTTTTTCTTTGTTGTCACTGTGACCAGCAGATAGTCTCCAAATGTTCCAACTGGTTGCCAGTTACTAAAAGGCCCTACGTGGCAGAGCAACCTCCTAGGAAGACAGACTGGGGGAACTAAGTAGATGCAGTCATTGATGCCATTCCTCCCTACAGCCAGCAAATGCTTTGCTCCAGGGTATTTGTGTCCTATGTGGCACCGAAGTCTAAACTCCGCTTTCAAAAGCTCTTGACACTTGTGTGTGTGCGTGTGTGTGTGTGTGTGTGTGTGTAAGGGGAAAGAGGAAGGAATGCAGAAGAATTAAAAAGATAGTGGTGAGATGGGGTGGTTAAAAGTGAGAGAGAAAGACGGATAATAGTCGTGGAGGGTAAATGAGTAGAAAGGTTCAAATGCAAAATGAGATGTCCTTAAGCCCTAGTTCCTCCTGAAGCTTCATGACTGTAGCACTGGGCTAGGCAGGGGAGGTGCTGGATGTGCTGGGAAGGGCCCTGGCAAGGCCTGGGCCACTGGTACCATAAAGTCAACCTCTGGTAGAGTATTCTTTTAAGAGTCACGATCATCTCCACACTTCCCTGTCCCCTTTAAAAGTGTTAACACCAGTGGGGAAGGCATGACTAAGACTGGGCAGCCTTAGATGGTTGGTTGCCTTCCCGAGACCAGAGGAGGGAGGAGGGAAGCTTAAATGGGTTCAAGGAGCAACAAGGCCAAAGACAGTCTTTACTTCCAGGTCTACTTGTGACACTTTAAAATTCCTTTAGTTTTCCTGAAGGCCTGCTTGGAAACTATTTGTATGAAAACACAACTAATTGATTGAGTGAATGAAGGATTTTAATGCCTAGATACTTAGGGCACTTACATACAAGCTAAATTTTTTTTTTTAGTAATTTTTAAAACTTTTAATTTAATGTCCAGTTAGTCAACATATGGTGTAATATTAGTTTCAGGAGTAGAATTTAGGGATTCATCACTTATATACAACAGC